CCATTGCGCTCCAGCCTGGGCAACAGAGTGAGACTCCATCTCAAACAATAATAATAATTATTATTATCACTTAGCAAAGTGCTTGGCACACCCTTAAACCTATATGGGAAATCCTATTTTTAGCTTTATTGGAGTTTCTAGACTGGTTTTAGTTGTCTATCTCAACTCTTAAACCTTCAGAAATGGTAGCTATTATTTTAATTATTATTCCCTAACCATTCCAGCTTTCTTTTGCATCTCTAGTTTGTTTCAAGTCGCTAAGTGTTATTTTGTTTATTTCATGTCTTATTTCTGTTTAATTGTGGGCTAATCCGCTTTGTTCAGAAAGAGAGAGAGAGGTGGGAGGATATTCATTTCAATTGGATAGTTTCTTTTGCTAGGAACACAGTGGTTGTATAAGTCAGATTATCTGAGATTGAATTTATTTATCTAGAAATAGGGAAGATAGCACCTGCCCTATTTACTCATAACATTACTGAAGAAAAATAAAATAAGTCATATATGCACAAGCATGGTATAGCTCAATAGGCTTCACATGCATAAGGAATCTGTTTCTCTTATTTGTGAGCATTCTGAAAGTAATCTCCATGGAGTTCCCTTGGAAAATGACTCTGAGCACTTTCCGCTCAATGAGGCCTGTGATTGTAATCATTTATTTCTTAATTCCCAATTGGAACCCTCTGGCTCCTATGGCAATGGCTGCCCAGCAGGGCCAATGACACCCAGCATGAAAGCCCGGAGCAGTGCAGTGGCAAAAGGTGGGGAGGCCCCGCCTGGTGAGAAGAGCTGACGATGCCCTTCCAGAGGCGACAGTGCTACCAACACTGCTCTGTCATCCCAGACTCAATTGTCACGAGGTGGCAATGACAATCGCTGCAAATGCTTGAGATTATATGGTGTCAACAAGCTCGTTCTGCCCGGGCCTCTTTGATCTATCATTTAATCTCATGTGTAGGATGACAGGGAAAGACTTCTAGAAACCCACAGAATCAAAGAACCACAGAGTCGGGGAACCAAACTTGGGCAAACCTTCAGCAAGCCTTGCCAAGCCAACCGTGTCTGAAGTCCTGCGGGACATGGAGTCTGAGGACACTAAGATGGACGTGCCATGTCCTTCCTCTTAAGCACAGCGGAGAAAGCAGACATGGTTACGCATGCATGGTAGGAACTGCGACACCACGGACCCCAGAGGAGGCAGGCACAGAGGTACTGAGGCAAACAAAGAAGCTTCTGGTAGCTAAAAAGGGTAAGTGGAGGGAAGGCAGTCTAGAAAATTATGTAGTCTTGCATGACTTGCTAAGGGATCCAAACACCATCTCCACACAATGAACGATCTCTCTTCTTCCTTCCTAACTGGTAAGGATGTTTCTCTTTGCTGCTGTTTACTTTTATCCAGGCAAAAATCTGAGAACGAGAGGTAAACGATTATGTCAACCCCAAAGTGTGGGAAACCTGGAGAGAAGGCTTGTGTCAACCTTGCACGAGTTCTATGTGGGGTCAGGAAAGTCAGGGAATGAGGGGCAGGCTGGCAAAGGTTTGGGGACTGAGGACACCGTCCCCATGTCCCGCATGAGAGAGTGCTTAGGAAGCAGCCAGGAACACTCCTAACATAGTCTTAAAGTTCCTAGTCTTAAAGCTGCACCATCTCTAGAGGGCAGGATGGCTCATTACTTCCTTTCTGACTTTCAAATGCCTTTTGGTATTTACATCCTTCCTGATCTTGTCCCAAATAATACATCCTAAAAATAACCAATGAATTAAATTTTCCTCAATCATCTCTCATGACACAGAGGGCTCTGCACCTTCGTCGGGGTTGCAGTGGGTGTGCAGGGGGTTAGCATGGTCTGAAAACATCCCCAGGAGATTCTGATGTGCCCAGGGCAAGAGCCATTTGCACTGGGTGGATTAGAATTGTGGCAGGCAGACTTGGATCACACTTCAGACACATCTTCTCATGACCAGCCCACGAGCGCGTGCGATGGCACATCCCAGAACAAAACGCCGGCGCCTTTTTTCTCCATGGCAACATTGGCACTTCTCTGCTCAGATGAATGTCCCCATGCCGACTGACTCATCTGGCAGGAACACAAACCCACACGGCCAGCCAGGAGCTGACCCACAGGACCTCTCAGTGAACGCCATGGGACATCTCTGGCAAAGCAGGCTTTCCTCCTTGACGTTCACTGTGACATCCTCATATTCCAGGTATATAACGTGGCCTGGAAGTGGCAAGTACAGGAGAGCAAAGCGGTCGGCTGGGAGAGAGGCATTTTACAACTCATCAAAAGGTGGCTGCTCGAGGCCACGGCCAGGCCTTTGCTCCCTGTTCTCACAGCTCAGGGGACATGGCTGCTGCTCTGCCAGTAACTACTGTTGGATGAATAGATGATTAAATGACAACCAACATTACATTAAAGGACAAGCCGTTTTCACAGTTTGTGTGAAATCTCTTTCATTGGAAGCCTCAGGCACCGGGTCATTCTCTGCCTAACTTGCTATTTCTTCACTGGCCACCTGTATGTTATGCCACCATGTGTAATGAGGATTGCCCTTTGGAGGGACCATTCTTCTCACGGAAAGCAGTGTTCCCGTAGTGGGAGAAGCATGGAACCTAGGGCCAGAAAATCTAAGTGCACATCCTTTCTTTGCCACTTACTGGTTATGTGATCTTGAGCAAGTCATTTCATTTCTTTAAGCATAATGGCTTCCATATTCATAACACAAAGGAACTAATGAACCAGGGTTGAGAGAATGAAAATCACATGTGGAAGCATTGTGCAGCTGCAAAGCATGGGACAAATGTTGGTTATTATTAACCAGAAAGCAAAAATGATGGCAAAACAAAACTTTATAAAGGTAACACTACTACTGAAGATTCAGCATCAAGTTTCTTCTTCAACATGAAGAGAACGTGCATGCCAATTGTCCATCAAGGATCTGATGTTAGAACCTTGCCTTGTGGTTAGTTATGAACTCATGGTCTCATAACCACATAGAAGAATGAACGAATGGTTGTTCCTCTTTTATCTGCTGTAAGTTATATAATGGTGCTTCTAAACCTAGAAAACTGATGAATAATTTTCACATGCATTTTTGTTTCTGTGACTGTTTTTAGAAAACATTTTGTGGATTAACTGGCTGTAATTAAGTTAAATAAATTATTACATTATCAATAATGCATAAACAGAATAACTATTAATGAACATTACCTAACCCATATTAATAATTATTTTAACCTATGCCCCATTTTTAAGGACAGTTTTCATCCTAAAATCAAATTTTAACATATTGTAAATTTCTGTCCTCCTTTTATATTCCCTTTTCGTAATCTCTCATGGAGCTAATGCATGAAGCACCACAAGTGAAAAGGCAAGTAAAGGTCAAAAGATGACAAAGTCTTCACTGGGTGTGACAGTAACTTACTAAAATCAGTCTCTGTAGCAGGCATTATGTTTGCTGTAATTATATTTCCTTTTGAAATTTCAGTGTTTGATCATTTCTTTGGGTACTTTGTCTGTAATTAAAGCACTCAACCATTAGGAGGCAGTAGTGCCATGATCACGCTATGTTCAAATAAACTGTGTAGAACAGATAGATTATTTCCTGGCTGAGAGGGAGACATAACTTTTTCTTCCTTTTATTTTTTTTTAAGAACCCTCTGAAAGGGGCCATAATTCAACAGTACTTAAAATTCACTTTAGTTTTTAATAGTTAACATAATATTGAACAGTTTTGGAACTTAATACTTAACGCTTAAATACTCAGTCACTACTTAACATAATTGTTTTTCTCCAAAAGCTTAATGCAGTGTTTACCTCAAACTCATTGTGAATCCTGAGCTTGGATTCTAATACGTGTTCTTTTAGCTTTTGGACTTTAGGCCTAATGTTTGAACATACATTGTGGGTGTTGGTCCCTGGTTATCACAGCTGTTTCCTAGAACCACAAGAATTTCATTTTCTTGCTAAGCTCTTGGAGATCACTAGGGGAGAAGCCTTGGCTTGATTTTCTGGCTATTAGATTAGCAAAAAGGCCCTTTTGCATTTACTGACCCATCTCCCAGGCAGAAGGGAAAAGTGACAGACAGGTCCAAACGTGTGGGCAGCAAACACTACGAATCTTACATGGAAGAAGTGACATTCACTCTGTCGCTATGTGGTTCCCTTAGTAATGCCTTTAACTCAGGATCAGATGCAAACTGTTTTACACTAATAAAAGAGCTTTTATCTTTCATTGCAGAACAGTGCATCTTGAAAACAGCATTTAGCCAGAGAGCCAGGCAGGGTTTTAAACTCGCATCTAGAGATTCCCTCACTAGAGGCAACCAGGGCTGGGACCACACCAATCTGGTGTTGCCCGTGAGCACGGTCCCTTCCCAGCCCCCTGCTGCCGTGGCCTGCAACCTCAGCCCCAGCGCTTATGCAGATCGACCCCCCCAGCCCCTGGAAGGAGTCACACTTTCATCTTCTGATTTTGCAAAGGAAGACATCTTTTAGCAAATCAAACGATAGTGTTGTACTCCATCTTATTTGCACATTTTATTCATGTTTTGTTTCATTTTAGAATAAATTTGGATTATCCTGATCAGATTTGCAAGGCTGGGCAGGGGAGGCCTTAAAATGACTCACTCTGTAAAAATCAGTTAAAAATATTTTAAGCTTCAAAAACATATCATCACAGTATGGAATGAACCAAATTTGTAGCCAGAGTGGATGTGTGAAGGTACATTTGTCCCACGATCCGGATCAGCGAGGTACTTTTTCTTTCCATGGCTATGACTCATGGTCATTCTGCTGTGCCTGGCTCAGCGGCAGTGGGGCACTCACTCCTTTGCGGGGCAGGGAATTCTACCGCCAGGCAGCTCCACTTGCTTGGAAACCCTTCCTGATGGGCCAGCACTGGCCCCATTGCCATCTTCACCCACAAGTCCCCTCCTGTCGCCTGGAGTAAGTGAGCACACCCTCTCTCTGCCAAAGACAAGCAGAGTCTTAAAAGCAGCTTTCTCCGGCAAAGCACAATGCCTTCCTCACGTGGCCTGCCTCATCTCAGCCACCGTCTTCCGGCTGTGCGGTGGGTGAGGGCACTTCAGACTGTCTCCAGCACTAAGTGCAGCATGCCAGTGAGGCCCAGCTAGCGCCAGACACAGAGCGATGGGATGCCTGCAATCACAGCTCTTTGAAGTTCCTGTTTGCCTCTGCTACTCACTCACAGTGTGAGGTGGGGAAAGTCAACACCTCTGTGCCTTGGTTAGCTCATCACTTCACAGGGTCATTGCTAATAAACTAAATTAAATCATATGAAATAATTACATATAGTACATACCCTGTACAGTGACTGGCACACAAGCATGTTCTCCGTAACTGGCTAATACAGAACCCCACTGTATCCACGGGGGAAATGTTCCAGGACCCCCAGTGGATGCTCAGAACCTGCGAGAGTATGGGACCTCATATGTACTATTTTTTTTTTGTATAGGTACCTACCTGTTATAAAGTTTAATTTATAAATTACTTGCCTAAGAGATTATCCACAATAATAATAGAGCAGAACAATGATCACAATATACTGTAATACAAGTTATGTGGCCATGTCTCTCCTTGTTTCTCAAAATACCTTATTGTTCTTGCCCTTCTTCTTGTGATCTGTCGAACTGATCACCACGATGGCTGTAAGTGACTAGCAGGTAGGCAGTGTAGACAGCGTGGATCCACTGGACAAAAGGATGATTCAGAACCCAGGACAGATGGAGTGGGACAGTATGTGATTTCATCAAGCTTCTCAGAATGGCATGCAATTTAAAATGTATGCATTGTTTATTTCTGGAATTTTCCATACAATATTTTTGGGCTCCAATTACCTGACCACAGGTAACTGAAACCATAGAAAGCGAAACAGTGAATAAGGGGAGACTACTTAATCCTAAGGCTCAACTAGAATGCAACAAAATCATAAGACCTCAGGTCAACCCAAAGTGGCTTTTCACAGACGCAACACTGTGGTCTGGCGGCCCTGGGTCTGGCGGTCAGCACAACCAGTTAAGTCCTATGCCATCTCAGCAATTTACTGATTCTCTCATGAAATTAGTTGAGCACATACTAATGGTGCTCAGGACCATCAGGACCAAAAAGATCAGTTAAGACAGCTGCCGACCATGAGGAGTCTAGCACGGTGAACAGACATCCCCAGCAATGAAGCCCACCGGTGTGGCAGGTACTGTTACAGGTACAAGCGGGGGCTGCAGGAGCATGGACAATGCTGGGGGTGAGAGAAGGCTTCCAGTGGGAGATGCCATGTCTGGCCAAAATACAAACAAAAAGACAACCTCTGTTCCCATCGCTGACCCTGTCATCAAGACCCAGCTGAGCAGGCAGCAGGCCTGGACTCTGGAATGTCTAAGTCCATCAGGGTAATGCTTGCCACTGTCCCCCTTGCTGGCTCAAAGAAAATTCCAGAGAGGCTGCACAGGCCTGGCTTGGGGCCACCCAGCGCCCTGACCAGCCTGGGGCCCTTGCATCTTCCGAACTGAGATGGGCTTGCCTATGGCACAGAGTTCTAAACCGTAGGCAGGTGTCTTTGGTATAAATTCAGAGCCCTCTGCTTCCTCTGCCCACTCATAACTTCACACTTTTCCCCAAGCTGCCTTTGCCTGGAACACCTTTCCTACAAGAAACACGAAGCCTCTTCTCTTTTTCTCTTTCAAAAAAATTAATCTCCTCCGAGCCCATCTGCTCTAGAAAACCATCCAGATACAATGGCTGCTCTTCCCCTTCGACAGGCCACAAGGCCAGCAAACATCACAGCCCCTCAGGTGTCCCTAGTCCTGAAGATGGACATCACTTCCTGCCTATCTGTCCTGCAGGAGCAGGGGAATGAGGCAGGCAAGGGTGCTACAGCTTGGCATGAAGGACTGAAGGGGGATGAAGGGCGTCCCGCAGCCCCAGTGACCAGTCAAGGCAGGTGCGCTGAGGCAGGGAGGGATGGAGAACAGAAGGAGACTCCTGGAGCCAGGAGTCCTGGGTTCACAGCATCATTCCTCCCTTACCCAGCATGTGACCTTGGGCAGGGTGTTCTACCTTCAAGGGTCTGCGATTTCTCATCTGAGAACCAGGAGGCCTGGCCGGAGAAGGCGAAGACAAGTCTCCCTTCTCTATAGGCTGGAATTAGGAGGTGATCCCTTCTCCCTGAGACTGGCACAACTGCTCTTCCATCTACAGCCAGGCAAGTAAAAGTTAACGTTCTCAGTCTGTAAGTAGTTCCTGCTGTTGCAGATAAAATTAAATGGCATGGCTATTTTGGTGGAGAATCAGGTAAAAATGCTGAAAAATAAACTCCCCATCAAATGCTAGTCCCCTCCCCCAAACAACATTCTTTTTTTATGCCCATTTGGTATTTGTTTTTAATTCTGGCTGATTGTCAATTTTAAAACCTGATGCATAGAGTAGCTTGCTATTCCGGAGGCGTTATTTTAAGATGAAACAATGTAAATTCTGACTTTGGATGGCAGATGGCTGGCAGTTCACTGTTTGGCAAACCAACTGGTATGGTATGTTGGAAGTTCAGAGCAGCAGGAATGCGGCTCCATTGGAAACCACCACAGATGCTCGCAGGGAGCGGGGGAGGGGTACAAGCTGGTCAGGAAATTAAGAACAGTACTCTGAGCTCAGAGGGGAAAAAAAGATGATAATTAGCTGAAAGTTTGCTTCTTCCAGTCTCGACTTTTTTTTTTTTTTTTTGGTTGCTTTATAGAAAACCAAGAGGGCCCTTAGAAGTCAGCACAGGGAAAAGCTTCTAATTTTGCTTCCTGTCTGTTTGGCAAAGCTCAGCCTCCATGAGATATTCAGAAGTGGGGACAAAGCAGATAAAGAGAGTATCAAATGTGTTATATAAGCGAGAGGTGCAAATAAGGAGCCTAACTCCCAGCTGATTTTTAAGATCAATTAATGAATAATATTTTGGGGAGGAAGGATTCACAGTTTAGGAAAGGACCCACGCACATGAAATTGACAACTCCAATGTTTCTGCATCCGGGGATTTCCCAAAACAAAGATGGAGGGCGGTAATATCTACTGTGCATTTCAATTACAGGCCAAGATAGTACACGTGATATTTGGCACGTCCATCTGTGGAGGGAATGAACTCTGCCCAAATTCACCCATCAATTAAGGTCTGTTCAAAGTCAATGAAGATACAGAACGCTTTTAAAAAAGGTCACTTGCACTGCAAACCACAAATTGTCAGCCTCCTGTCAAGTGGAATGTCAAAACAACTCATTAGAACAGGAACTCTTGATATTGTTTGGTGTAGGAGAATTGGGCTATTTTTTGTTTCCTCCAAATTCTTACCATGGCTGGAAGGCAAGTGGGAAAGGTTTTGCTATTGGTCCCACAATTCTCATCCTCGGTCACCGAAAGTGAACAGGAAGTTAAATGGCCAAGTGTGATGGCAATTTGCCAGGGATGATTTTGAGACACAACAGTATCTCCCAATCTACTCCTGTAATCAGGGTGCTCTGTTGACACCTTTGACGCCCCAGGAGCTTGTGTTGATCAATCTGCAGAACAGCAACAACTCCATCCGGGGTGTTCAGCGATGGCAATTTAACCAAATCCAAAGCACCGCAGTCCGATTGACTGAATACTCATATGGGCAGGGAAGATTCAGTTACTATATTACAATCCGGTGTTCTGGCCAGAACAACCAGCTAATTCCAATTCTAATTCATAGCATAATTGCTCATCTGGACCCTGAGTAATGACCAAGGGGTCTCTGGGTTTTTAAAAAATCGCAGAAGTGTGTGTGTGCCATTTTCTCTGGCAGAACATGGTAAGGTCTAGAGAAAGGGAACACTTCTCTCTGTCCCCTACTCCTACTCTGAGTTAGGTAAATACAAGTGCTCTTCCTTTGTTTTTTGGCTTGTTGGTTTTTTGTTGTTGTTGTTGTTACAGGGTCTTATTTTGTCGCCCAGGCTGGAGTGCAGTGATGCAGTCCTGGCTCGCCGCAGCCTCAACCTCCCAGACTCAAGCCGTCCTCCCTCCTCAGCCTCCTGAGTAGCTGGGACTACACCACCACAGCCAGCGTGTGTGTGTGTGTGTGTGTGTGTGTGTGTGTGTGTGTGTGCGTGCGCGTGCGTGTGCGCACGCGCGCGCATGGCGATTGCATCTTGCTATGTTGCCCAGGTCGATCTCAAACTCCTGGACTCACTTGATCCTCCCACCTCTGTGTGTTCTTCCTTTCAGCAAACATTTAGCACCTGTGAGGCATAGTTCTCAGCACTGGGGGCCCCTGAAGGCTACGCAGATGTGGATCCTGCCCTAAAGAGCTTTACAGCTAAGGGTACCACTGAGGTGGGAACATACATGGTCACACTACACGATAGGCACAGTGGGGCCTGAAGGGAAGATATGATCACATGCTAAGGGAACTCCCACTTCCTAGTTCCTCCAAGTGGTGCTATGTCCCACAGGTAAATCTGGAGGGTAGGTCCCCACCCAGTCTGATGGGTTCTTCCCACATGCTAGGTTGGCCTTATGGGTTCCGGAGGGAACTGTGTTTCCAGGCTGTGCTTTTATCTTATGGACTGGAAAAGTATGCCTGACATGGCCATATTCCCTCCCTAGCCAGTAGCCAAATAATCTGGTTCAAAGGCCTGTGAAGGAACTGGATCACGATGGCTCTCCCAGTGGGAAAATGAACTAGGAACTGCAGGGCTTCGTGTACCCAAGGACCTGGAAGACAAAGGAATCTAAGAAGGAAGGGTGAAAGTGCGAAGAGAGTGGACATTTCTGGGGTAAAAATGTTTTGCTCACCAACCACCAAATGGGAACCACACCAGTGGCTAAGGCTGGCGAGGGTCACTGAATTAATTTCTTATGAGTGTTCTTCACACCAAATGGATCAAAAAAATTGTTCCCCAAGATGCTGCAAAAACGGCATGTCCTTCTGTTGTTTCACAAATGACATTTAAGCAGCTGAGTGTTTTGGGGAGGGACGCAGGGGCAGGAACAAGAGCAGCAGAGCTCAGGCCAGGAGGGAGGGAGGGAGGAAGTCAGGGGCAGCTCCCGGTGGTGCAGGGAGTCTCATTTGAAAACTGACAAGGAGGAAAAAGGCAGGGACTGAAGACCAGGGAGGAAATAAGGACCAGCAGGCGGTTCGAGCTTGATTTTTCAGCCTCTAGAGCAACAATTTGCAAAAGGGTCCTCATCTGAGACCGCCTTCTCTTAGGGGAAATTGGTGGGAGAGGAGGAAGAGGAGGAAGAGGGAGGAAGAGGACTCTAGGGGGACTGCCTGGAGAGAAAACAGTGGAGGCCACCTATGAAACTCAGAGAGGGGATGGAGCAAGAGATGTCTCAGTGGCCTCCCCTCCCACACCCAGTCCCACCATCCACATCATTAAAGATCCAGGCCCAGTTCTTTTTTTTTTTTGCTTATGGTATGACTTTGGGTGGGAATTTCTGATTTAGTGGCTGCAGCTAAATTAGTATCAAGAAACATGTCCTCAACAATGCTGGAGGAGAAAGGGAGGATGCTTGCTTATGGCGCAGGGGCAAGAGCAAGCACTAATCACAAAGCATTTCTCTTGGCAAAAGGGTCTGTTTTCATTGGCAGGAATGCTGCCAAGTAAGGGCAGTATTTTCTGAGCATCTGCACGGTGGCAGGCACTAGGCATGCTGTATATGGTATGACATTAATCCTGCTGCAACTCAGTGGTGCTGAACTTTTTATATCCATTTTACAGAGAGGAAAACTAAGGCTCAAAGAGGCCAACTAACTAGCCAAGGTCTCACAGCAAGTGAGGGCAAAGCTGGAATGGGAAACTGGGCCTCTCTCACTCCCAGGTCCAGGATTTTTCCTCCGCTTCCTTGCGGACAAAAGATGAAAACAAAACAAAACAATGACAGGAGAGAGGAGGGAAGGAAGCCACATGGATCATGAGAAGAAAACAATTTCCCTTTCCAGGAAATGAGGAGGAAGACAATGGGAAGGAAGAAACAACAAAACCAAATAAACCCACACAACTTTGAAGGATGACAGTGTGATGTTAAAAAGTTGAAATATTAAATAAGTTAGGGAGACATTTTTCACATTATAAAAGTCATATTTATTTAACAAAGTGATTTTCTTAAGAGTTACTTTGAGTAGGTAGCTCCTTACATTTAAATAAAAGTCGTTCATTAGAAGTGCTTTTTGTGTGTTGTTGTGCTGTTTTTCAGAGACAGGAGTTCCTGAGAAGGCGAACATCCTAAGAGGCCTCCACTGTCTCAAGTATGCTCTCCCAGTAGGGCTTGTGTTTGCATCCAGAGTTTGCAGCCTTCGGGAATCCTCATAAAGTACAAGGACAGGCTTGCACTCCTAACACCCAGGACACACGGGTCCTACAGCAATGGGAGAATGCAAAGGGAAGTTACCAATTTCAAAATTTTGCCCTGGGCTGCAACCACTTAAAAGTGAGTTACAGCTGAAAACAATGAAAGAAAAGATTTAGAACCCTAAGTCCCAAGCACAAGTCTCCCAAACAAAAGTTTAATAAACTTTGGAGACAGACCCTAGAGCCTTTTGGTGGAGGCAGATGTAGGCATGATAATATGACTCATAACTGCTAAGGCAGTCACTGAGCTTGGCTAAATCTTCCCCAACACATTGCATTTCAAAAGGCCTGTTATCTCGGGAAAGGTTGCATTAAGTGTCTCTGGTAATTATGTCTCCAAGAAACAATACTCCTCTCCTCATTAAATGCTTCAGTGGGTGGCCCTGCTGAAGGCCGAACTTAACCCTGGAGCTGCAGAGCCCAAGAGGGCAGGGAAAGGGGCCACCAAGGAGTTGTCCAACTCTATCAGCCAAGGTGAGGCTGCTTATTGGGTTGAAAACTGCTTTAATTAGGGGCCTAGGCAAAGAAGCAGAGAAGTGACTGCTGTATAAATGACTTGAAGAGATAAAGGTACCGGGAGTTGGAGGCTTGCCCAAGGCCGTTCCACCCTGGTCTTGGTTTGGAGTGGCAGGCGTGAACGCTAAAGCCGGTTCTGCATTTGCAACTCATTATCTCTATGCCCAGGCAGCTGAGAGCCACTCTCCCCAACTAGAGGGTAGACTCCTCCCAGATCTGACCCAACAGCACGTCCCTGTCGCCCAAACACTTATCTTCCAAATAAACTGCAAACAGGATGTGATACCGAAAGCCCAGAGTTGTGCCTGCTTTGCAGCTGGAGTTCTAACCCAGAGGTAGACGGGTCTGTGTCATTCCACAAACATTTATCAAATCCATGTTGCGCAAAGAACAATGCGTGAAGAGGCTGGAGCTGCACTATCCTTAGGAACTCTAAATGAACCTGTCCAGGGCTCCACTGCTGGGAGTGCAATAAAAATTGAGCAGATAGAAATAACAGAGATAAAGGAGGGAGATGGAGCAGATAGAAGTGGAGGAGGGAAACAGAAACAGATCTCAGAGAGCCAGCTGCATGGCTCTAACCCTGTGGGATGCAACAGAAGATGAACCAGCACTGTAAGGTTAGAAAATCCTTATGAGCTAATCCTTCTTCCCCAAACTCAGGACCACTATTCACGAGAAAAGGAAACCTTTTCAAAAAGGCCTCTGTCCGAGACCATCCTCCATCTGAGACCACCCTCCTCTTGGGGTGCAGGAGCTTGGTGGCAGCAGCTGAGCAAGTGAAAGGAGAAACCTCTCTGTGGCAGTAAATATGCAGGTCAAATCTCATACAAAGCTGAAGAAGGATTAGAAGGTGAAGGAAGAGAAAGAGAAGGAAGAGGAGGAGGGGGAGAAGGACGAGGAGGAGGGGGAGAAGGACGAGGAGGAGGGGGAGAAGAGCATCCCTACTGATAAGGAATGCATGCCAAATGACGGATGCAAAAAACTGTCAAAATTGCAGCATATTACTTTAAAATGAACTAAAGTGCTTTAAAAATGACATAAGACCTGAAATAATATTAAAACACAATGTTAGAAATGAAAACTAAACTAGAAGGAACACAAAGGCCAGTACATAAAACAGAAGATGCTGAAAAGAAATGAGGTGACAAAGATAAGTTTTTTTAAATCAAGAAAAGAAAAAAGATAAAAAGGAACTCAGAGAAAGGGACAAATACTGAGAATAGCAAAGAAGATCCAGTCAACGGAGAAGAGGAGTCAGCTCCTGATAAAGAAAACCAAGTGAAGGGGACAGAAAAATGTTAAAATACGTAACTCGAGACAATTTTCCTGAAATTAAAATAAATTAATTAAAAAGCACATCACATACTTGAGACTATCAATCTATGGACAATTTTTCCATGGACGGGGGGGGATGGGGGTGAGGGGATGGAGAATGATGTGCGGATCAAACTGTTTCACTTCAGATCATCAGGCATTAGCTATATTCTCATAAAGAGTGTACAACTGAGATCCCTCACGCATGCAGTTCACAATACGGTTCCTGCTCCTGTGAGAATCTAATGCTGCTGCTGATATGAGAGGAGGCGGAGCTCAGGCAGTAATGCTAGCTCACCGCCCTCTGTGCCACCAGCTTCCTAACAGGCCATGGGCTGGTACAGGGGGTTGGGGACCCCTAGGCCATATGATCTGATAATGCAAATATGAAACAACCCCAATTAGGGGGAAAGAAGAGAATAGGGGGGTTAAAATGTTTAAGTGTTTTCAGTAATCATCACTAATGGTACAGCGTTGTTACTATTGTTATTGAGACTATTGTAATAATTATGGGATATTCTAATTCTAATTCTGTATCTTTAAAAACAAGACTTGCCAGGCATGGTGGCTCACACCTGTAATCCCAGCACTTTGAGAGGCTGAGGTGGGCGGATCACCCAAGGTCAGGAATTTGAGGCCGGCCTGGCCAACATGGTGAAACCCCATCTCCACTAAGAATAATACAAAAATTAGCCAGGCAGAGTGGTACATGCCTGTAATCGCAGCTACTTGGGAGACTGGGGCAGACCAGGAGGTGGAGGTTGCAGTGAGCTGAGATAGCACCA